TGAGTCATCACATCCGGTGGTATCCCTGTCATATCAGCGTGGGACCAAGCAAAGCAGTCTAAGTTAGCTTTTAAAAATTCGATTATCATACCTGTCATGTTTAAGCTTAAATTGGCCCTGACATAAACCTTCCGTTCAGGCCATTGCTCAAATAATATCACTGTCTCGAGCTCTTCAATTGTCGTTTTGATGCTTTCATTTTCTTCAGGTTCCTGAATTGTGTCTGGCCTTGAGTCCAAATCTGTCTTTTCTTATTCAGCTGAAGTTTGATCTTTTTTTCCTTCAACTGTTTCTTGTAATTGCTATTTTTCTTTATTTACGGTTCTTGTACTTGTTACAGCGTTGACACTTCTAGCCATCTGCTGATCCCCACGAATTTGGCAAATTCCCCATGGTGATGGGAATTTAATAACCTGATGTAGAGTTGATGGGACAACATCCATATCGTGTATCCATGGTCTCCCCATGATCATATTGTAGGCCATTTCCATATCAACTACCTGAAATTTAGTTTCTTTAACAACACCCGTAGCAAAAGTTGTAAGAATTACCTCTCCTTTTGTTACTACACTTGAATTGTCGAAGCCTGACAAGGTGTGCGCTTTGGGTATCATTTTGTATTCAGCTTGCATTTCACGTAATACCCTTAGTAATATAATATTTAAAGAACTCCCTGGATCAATCAAAACTCGTTTTACATTAGTATCATGTACAAGTAAAGANGTTAGTACTAAATTTTGCAAATATGAATTATTTGAATTACCTGGTCCCCCTTCCTGTGGTTCACTGGGGGTTGCTCCGTTTCCAGAATTATCAAGACTAGAACGGGGATTCTCCAATATATTATTATTAGGAGTTGGTGTGGTGGTGCGGCAGGCAATCGACTAACAAGTGCCTGAAGAGCTTTGCCGACCTGTGCATCAATTAGCTTTTGTAAAGCTTCAGTTATAACTCATTCAAAGTGTTCATATTGTTCTTGANACTCAGTGAAGTACCCTTGCTTCAATAGATGATCCACTTCACTCTGCAAGAATCTACATTCTGAAGTTTTGTGCCCGTGATCATTGTGGAATTCGCACCAATGATCTGGATTGCGTCTATTTGAATTTGACCGCATCTCTTTTGGCCACCGTACCTTACCTCCCATGCTTCTTAAAACGGCTACAAGCTCGGAGGTAGACACATTAAAATTATATCCACCGAATCGTGCCTTTAAACTTCTGTATCATCTCGTGATTCTTGTCTATTCCGATCATTCCTGAACTTTGAAGAAGAACCAGAGTCCCTGTTCCTCGATTTTTGATCATATTGCTGGCTATCTTGTTTCGACCGTGGGTCTTTTCCTGCAGGTCCCATATATGNCAATAGTATTCCGTGTCCTTACAAATGATGATACTTCTTCCTTTTATAGGTAATTCTAGGTAAAAGAATGAAGCCTCAGCATTAATGATATAATTATGAGTAATAAATGATATTAAATAAGCCGTTATACAATCATTCCTATTAAATACCAATTTTCTAACGTATCAGGTATTTAATAATGAATTTGGACTCCTTTCTATCATCAGATCTTTGTCTTTAATGCCTTCTAATCCGTTGGCTTTAAATGACTTGAATTGGTACGAGACTCATATCTGCACTTCGTCTCATGCCTATTTAAATTCCTCTTCCTGTTGCTGTCTCCATCCGTGCCTCTTAGTCAATTGTTGCGCTTTGACCATTTAACCAAACCACGTGTCATGCCACGTCATCTTTAATATAAACTCAGTTTTTTCCCAATACACATATAAGGTCTAAGAATCTCTTAATAGTGTGAGACCTTTTGGGAAAAACCGTGCAGGCATTGGGCCAAAGCGGATAATATCATACCATGTTAAGAGTATCTTTGGGTTGTTTTAGCCCAACAACTGGTACAAGAGCCCAGGTTCTGCGAGACGAGTATAGAGATGGCAAAGTGATTGTGCGGGCCGGTGCGCACATAAGAAGAAGCTAGTTGCGGACTTCGGTTGCCATAATACACACAATGAATCTCGAAAATTGACCCGTGAATCGTAGTAGTGAGCCATGTGGAACTTAGTTCGAGGAGGAGATTGTTGGTTGTGCGAGCAAAGTCCCACATTGGTAGCTGAAAAGATTGGGAGCCTATATATAAGGTGTAAGGATCTCTTAATGGTGTGAGACCTTTTGCGGAAAACCGTACGAGTTTGGCCCAAAGCGGACAATATCATACCGTATTAAGAGTATCTTTAGGCTGTGTTAGCTCAACATTCTTAAATAAACGATCAAAACGAGCTCCCTCAATCTGCCAGTAACCAAAATGTACTAGAAGTACGGTGTAATATATTCAGAGATGAAGAGAAGTACCTTAGCCGAATAGTTATCAATCTGATCACTTTGTTCTCTGCATCACATTTTTCTAGAATGACAAACAAAAGAGAAAGAACAAGAGCATAGCACCAAATATGGAACAACACTGCTGGGACATATTACTTTTGTATATTATTCTGAATATAAGCCAAGTTAGCCGCCCCAGCATTCCACATGCTCACTATTATTTCTCCAAGCATAGGCTATATATATCAATATTACAATGAGAAGTGATAGAGACCAAAAACTGGTTACATGCCTTAATTATCTCACTCTTTGATTCAGGTATCTAACTTTTGCATCTACATCATTTAAAGCACATTAAAGTGGTAAATTCACACAAAAAATGTGGCGCTAATTTAAAACTACTATATCCATTTTAAATTGTTTGCTTTTAA